AGAAGTGAAAGCAAAAAGAAGCCTGGGCGATAGTACGTGCTAACAGCAGTCACCATCTAGCAGGGCTCTTCCCAAGAGCCGCTTAAAAGCAAGCTGATGGCAGTTTTGACTTTCCAAAATGCGTCAGCAACAGTTTCCAATGAAACCTTCATCTAAATTATCTTTGTTACCACAATCGTCGTAATGACGAGGTCCAATTGCAGTAACGGTAAGAAATGTATACGACTTAATAGACCGAAACATTTCTTACCTGTAACAAATATCTGAATACTCCCCTTCCCCCTTTCTTCACTTCGTTCTCCTATTCTTTTTCCTCCTCCTCATTTTCTACCTTACTTTTAAATTACAGAGTTTAGCTGTCCCACTGGTAGGGCCGAACCCTTTACTTTCCACCTGGAAAAAAATCAAACAAAAATCCCCCCATTTTTTCTCATTATCAAAAAATCTAGCTTTCATTAGAGCTTAATCCCCGACGTTATACTTATCAACAAAAATTCATCTATTCATATGAATCAAAATGTTATATCCACTACTTCTCAAGAATACATAGAAAATATTTATCACTTTTCTAATATACTAAAAATTTTCGTACTTGTTGCCCAGAATACCAAGAATCCCCAAAAAGTCAACTTAGGAATCTCATACTGCCCCCCAGAATATTTTCAAACTCAAACAAATCGTGCAAGTAAAAAATCATCTTCCGAAATTACAATTACATAAATTGAAATTTTTTATTTTTCTGGTGGTTTATAATCATGGAAGGATTGTAAAAAGATAAAAAAGGAAATGTGAATAAGTTAAGATTAAAATCTGAATTGGAATGTTTCGGTCCATCAAGTCGCATACATTCCTGTTCAGTGCTGCAACTGGATAAATATCATATCTGTATTAATACCAAAAAAAAGGCCCTACTGGATCTCATCGGGGAGTGATGGTGCCGATAGGAAACGCTTGCGATCATCGCATTCAACAATCAGTAAAGCAATATTTTCTAGCTGTAACAGAAGCGCTCGCAATTTCTTCTGTGATGCACTGCTTTTCATCGAAAGCTTATCATCATCCGTTGAGTCGTTTGACAGATCGATTAACTACAAAAAAAATAATTGAATTACTTTGTTTATTAGAATTGATTAAGAATTGATAAATTAATAAAAAAGATTAAGAATTGATAAATTCTGAATTATTTTTTTGAAAAAATAAAAGAAAAAAACCAACATGTCTTGGATAATTGACAGTGGAGAGCGTTGGTTTCCCAAGTGTGCCCACAAAAGTTGGTGGGACATAATGATGTGCATTTGCAGTGCTTACTGCGTAATCGCATTCATCTCCCTCTTCGCCGGCTGCAGGTTTTAAGCCTTTTTTCCGCCGTTCCAAAGCTATTTGCTTCTGCCGCCAAACCTAAAAATTTTCAAGAAAAATTTTATAAAACAGTAATCCTGGAACGCAGAGCACAAAAACATATTAAATAATATTCTAGGAATCACTAAGATTATCAAGATATTATTGGTTTAATAACCCAAACTTGAGATAACTGGATGTTTTGGAAATTTTTGAAAAATGTAAACTATGAAAGTTTGTTTGGCACTGTAGGCCAGCAGATAAAAGGGACACAGTCGAATATTGTCAGTTGTGGGAAAGGTTTTGATTCCTCTGGCTGAAAACGAGCAAAAAACCAGAACTGAAAAAGCATGCTGATCAACTAACTGTATGGCACTGATCAAATCAACTGGAAAGAGCGTCATCTGTATGGCTGAAGGATAAGGATGGATTAATAGTAATTTCAGGTATTCCAAATTTCCTCTTTATTAAAATACCCCCAAATATCCTCCTCTGTCATACCCTCTTTTGGATTTAAATATTTTATGGTTATGAGAAAGGTTGTAACAAAAAGCAATAATTAAAATTAAAAATAAAAACTGAATTGGAATGTTTCGGGTCCACTTTAAGTCGCATACATTCTCATTCAGTGCTGTAACTGGACCTCGTCCGTGTGATGGTTGTAGCAGAAATATTATAACTGGCCAACTGCCCATGCGAAGACGCGTTTTTTGCATAGCTCCCCGCAGATTTTTGTCGCTAACGACACTGATTTTTCCGGCAGATGCTTCTAGCTAAAAGAATTTCCGACTGGCCGCCAGAACTGTCAGGAAACATCCCTTCAAAATTCCAGTCTTCTAGCTTCTCACGTTCT